AATTATTTTTGTTCATTATGAATTAAATTGTTAGGATTTCTCCTTTTTTCCTATAAAGCCATAAATAGTTGCACCCACCAACCAGAGGCCTTGGATGCACGTGGCCAAACGCCTTTGATTATATATGTCAAGAATTAGTGATCTACTAAAATAAGAAGCTGTCTTCAAAAACTCCTGGAAAGCAATTCGGATGAAAAGGAAATTTTGGCTTCTAGATACTTGACATGCCAAATGTTAGTTATTTCGAGAAGTAAATGATCTGCTTATACTCTCCCCAAATTAGTGAAACGAAGGAACAATTTTCGCAATAGCATACAGATGTTAGAATTACCTCATCCATGCTAGGATTGACAATAAATTGACCGGAAATCCTCCCAATTCGTATTATCCCAAGAGGACCTCCCCATGGAATATCTGATAACATTCGGGCAGCAGATGTTGCATTAGCAGCCACTACATCTGGATCTTGTTTCCCATCAGAAGAAAGAACACTTGCTATGACCTACAGGGAGTACTAAGCTGAAAAAAAAAATAGTACAGCAGGTTCAACAGAAAACAGCTTGGCATCAATTTACTGTCTCATTGTACCTGGACCTCATGGTAGAATCCTGGGGGGAAAGTGGTCTGATGGGTCAATCAATGAGACGACCACATAAAAGTTCCCGTTCTTTTGGAGCACCCTCCCTCATGAACGTGCCTGGAATAACACCTTGAGCAAACTGTTTCTCTTGGTACTCAACCTTACAAAATGAAAATGTTATGAATCACATCACAGCCCACAACAACATAATTTAACTTCAATCCCAGTTATTATTTCACGAAAGCTTTGTCACTAATAGAAAAAGCAGAGTTCTGAAGAAATCTATAAAAATCTTATCCCAACGAATTTTCTCATATGTTAAATATACTCCCTATAGTAGTCTCCCATTTGTTTCCACTGAAAAATTTGCCCGCATTTCTAATATATAATTCAAAATTAAGACTCTGGAACCTTCATAGGAAATAATACAGAAACTATGTTATGCAAATCGAAATTTTCAGATGAGAACTGTAGAAAAGTTAATTCTTTGTTATACATACAGTGAGGGGCAAAAAATCACGGACGCTGTCGCCTTTAGCAGAGGCCACAGTGGAAAGTACTCTGGTCTCTTCCATTGCCAAAACAACCGCGCCGTTTGCAAAACGCGCCATTTTACCTGTTTCTAGTGTAATTTTACGTGATCCAATTTCGAATTCTTCACTGAATGTTTCGAGAATTTTGGTTCCGACTAAGGGCGTGTCAATTTCCGCGGCAGTGGAGGGAGCAGATGACGTATATGGCGCGAAGCCGATACGACGGCCTCATATTGAGCGTATGTTGAATCGCCTCCGTGACAGGGCTGAGAGGAGTGCATTTGCTTGGCTCGCCACTGGTGCCATGGGGCAGTGGGGGGTTGACTTCAGGCCCTTTAGGGTTTAAGGGGG